CAGGTCCACATCAGCTTATACAGTTGCCAATAAATTCAACCTGCTTGAACAAATAAACATGATGATGATGATGATGATGATGATGATAAGGTTGTTTATCTTGATGACACTCTTTTATATCCTGTTTTCTGCGTAATGTATTGAAATGGTGCGATGCCATCTGTTTCTCTGTAATACAACACTTAACCAATTTATAAGGAAATGTTTATAGCTCCTGGAAGGGAAAATTGAGGGTCAGATCTGAGATTTTAAGGGTTTAGTCAAAATAGACTGCAAATGATAACCTTGAAAACCTTGTCCTGGGTTTTCTAAGATGTATAAACAATGCATTAATGCCTAATTGTATTCTGCTTCTCCCCATCTATCACATCTCATGCATGGATTTAATTTGAAGTACATTTTTTGTTGAATTTGTGCAGTTCAGGAGCAGGAAATCATTATGGAACATTCAGTGGAGCCATTACAGCTTTTAGCCCTGTTTCAAGGGGGAAGAAACCAACAGAATCAGCCAGAAAGAACTTCTTAACAAACCCACCCAAGAAGGGGACAGGGTTTGGATACCTGAATGTGACAATTGGTGACCCACCCAAGTACATGTCTGATGCTTATGAACGTGCTAGAGAGCTGAGAAAGGTAACTGGCCTTATTGTTGAGTTAAACTAGGTGTATTCCCTCTTATTCAGGAATTTTTTACAGCTTGCACAGACCTTAGAGTTCTCAGTGTGGCACCAATTCATATGTTTTTGTCCACTGATTTCTGTTGACTTGTACAATGGACATTGCCCCAAAAAAGAAATGACTTTACAAAGTCTATTGTTAAATCATTCTCAGAAATTTAAACTCCCAAAGTAGATAGAGCTTTCCTAGTTTCTGTGGATAAAAAGAGATGCAGTGTGACAATTACAATGTCTCCTTTGCTGGTTACCCCCAGAGGGGGACATTGGGGGGCATTCAGGGGCCTCTGGGAAACCACAAAACCAGAGAAAAAAACCTCCAAAACCAAAAAACTGATGAAAAAAGGCAGCAAAACTGAAAACCGCACGTAAACCTGACAAAACCGCTACACTTTCACCTTTAAAGGGGTCAAAAAGGAAAAACTGAAATTCGCATCAGAGTTTTTGTGAAAACCGAAAACCAAATGCAAAAACATGTAAAATCTGCAAACCACTCTGAACATCAAAACCGAAAAACCAAACCTTTTTGGCCCAAAAACCGATCCAAAAAAACAGTCAAAACCGCAAAACTGAAAATCCCAAAGCCCGGCTGGTCCCTCCTCCCAGCATTTTGTCACGTCCGCCCCAGCAATTCATTAGTATCCTTTCTCTTTGCAAGCTAGAGATCTTTTTTATCAACTGTCTTGAGACATCTAAGGTGTCCTGAAGTAATATCATGATGGGTTCCATTCAGTTATCTCGCAATAAAAATTTCAAATCTTCCATTTAACAACAATCCTGATAGATATAAGTTGATGTGGCATTTACTACCATGTACTAACCTCTGCATAAATAAGCACTTAATTGCATGTTCCAAATGATATGCTATTGAATTACCTTTTTGCAGAAAGAGACGGAAGGAAGCATGAAGGCAAGAAAGGGAGGACCATACAAACTCAACCTTCATCCTAAGGCTTATTTTGATGGAAATCCCTACAGATCAGACAGACGTGAGTGATAAATATTTATCGCCTTTTGATTGGAGCATTCTTGAATCAAGTTTTCTTAAAAACCATTTTAAACAAAGCAAAAGAGCAAATGATAAAATCCAGTTGTCAAGAATAATAAGTGATCCCTGTAAGTGAAGCGCACTAATGAAGAGTGTGTGAACTGGTATTTTTGCCAAACTTTATATTTTTCCCTTAATCAAATCCATAATTTGTTGTGCCGTGTATTTCAGCTCTTCCACCAGTGAAAGAGTCAAGGAAACCTCCAGAAGGATTGAAGCCTTTTAAACCCAGTTCTCCATCAAAGGAGGTAAATAAAGTGAGCTAATCAATTAGGAATATCTTAGACTGACTCAAGTCACTGATGGATCTCATCCTGGGAAGTAAGGAAGTGAGGTGCACTTGGCAAATTAACTTGTGAGTGAGACTAGCCTTCTGATGGCTTAGCTCACTATAAAGTCTCTGTAGCTCGGTGGTAAGAGCATTGGAGTGCTAAATTCAAAAGGTCAGATTCCTCAATGGGACTCAAATGTTTCTCTGTGTCCAATTCTTCTGACTAGATTAAGACACTATCTTTCTCAAGTTAAAATGTTAGCCTGACAGTCTACCAATTCTTGTATAGTTTAGTATACAGGATGGAGACAAAATTACTATGATTTTCAGAAGAACAAGCAGCAACAGTTCCTCTTAGAAAGTATAAGCAGGGAAAACAAGAATCTTTCCTGAACAATATTTTGATATTGTTCCTTTTTTTACAGATCGGTGGTATGAAAGCTGGTTGCTTGGACAGCTACCCATCTCACTCCAATGATCCTTATGTGATGAAAAAACCAAAAGGTGATGATGGAACAGAGAAAAAAATCTTCAGACCTTCACAAGGACCAAAATCTACACCAATGAAATCAATCATAAATCAAAATGTTGAACGACGAATTAATAACTTAAACTTCAGACAACCAGTTACTGTGTCCATATGATGTCATAAACTTGGTAAAAATTACATGAATACAAAAGAGCTAATTTCGTTAAAGCTAGTGTGTTAATTCATATGTTGGGTTTAGCATTATGAGAACAGAGAAGCCTTGAAGACAAGACAAAGTTAGATTTTATGTCCAAAAGTTTTACTTTACATTGCATATTTAAATTGTGAGTAGATACTTATAGAATAATACATGGTAACATTGTAAATTGACTGCCTTTCATTTTTAATGGCAAAATCAGCCAACTGCTCAACGAGTTGTATGTTCACTTTGTGTTAGTTATAACAGCTTCAAATACATTAACACACATCTAAAACTTGTGGTCACATTTCTATCACTTGCCAAAAAATTAAGGTAAAGTTTTCTTTTAGTGTTTTTACTTACTATGTACCTGCTTATCTTATAAACAGGGTAACCCTACAAATGTTAATAAAATCTCAATTATTTTTTTCTCAGCTATGCTTGAGCACATTCAAGAATGTGATGTTTATTTGTATGTTGTAAAATTACTTCAGGATACTTTTTTATATGAATTCAATCAAGTTTCCACTCAAGGGGAATCTGATCAGCCCAATTGATTTTATTATCACATTTATGTAAACTTAAAACCACTCATAACTACACCCCAGTCAAATGGAAATTAGAAAATATCTGTACATGACATTTTTCATCAATACATCGCTAACAGAACCCAAATACTCATTACCTTAGTATCTTAGCCAATAAATAATGATGGAAATTATTAATAATTTAACACAATTATGACTGATATGCATAATTATTATTTACAACTATTCTGTCATCAGCACTTGTTTTGGCATTGAATCTTAGGCCTGAGGCCCGTTTCTCGAAGGTCCCTGTAACTTTATGGGGCCATTAAGCTGTTCTGTTTTCATTCAAGATGGGGTTTCCAAACATTTTGAAAATTCAACAATAAATTTATCAGCTAAAGAAACAAAATGGACTGGTTAGAGTGCCAGAACCTGTGCCTGCGCCTCTATTCTTAAAATTTTGATTTTAAGATATGGCTTCCAGCCCTTTAAGTTAACGGACTTATGAGAAATGGACCCCCCCCCCTGGTTTCCATTCACTTGCCCTGATCTGGATGATCAAGAAAAAAATTGGGTTTTTGAAAAGTGGAGAACGAGAAATTCAGTTTCAATAGTTGTTCAAGAAATAATCTTGCCCATAATTATTTCCCTAACAAATTCTGCTGCCTCATCTAGGCTGCCAATTTTTACAGGGACCCTCCTGGCCTGCAAAAAGGATTTTGTCTGAATTAATTGTGTGTACAGGGATGCCAGTCATTGCACTTCCTTGCATTTCCAGTTTTGCAACAATTGAAAATTCCATTTCTGCCACTATATCCAGTACAAGGCTTTTGAATCTTGGATGCATTTTTTAAGTGATTTGTGCATAAGCATGAAAACTGATTGGCCTTTCTCAAGTAGGGTCAGTTTGACCACACCTGTTACTGTCCAATTTTAAAACTGAACACACCAACTTGCTCAAACACACACGGATGTTCAACCAACCAGTCTGACGAACACAAAGTTTCCCTAATCTTGTTTATCCCTTCTGAACCACTGAACAAAACTCCGCCAAGGAATAGCTTGTATTCTATTCCAAAGCAATTCCTGATAGCTGGACTTGGCAAACATAAATGCACCAAATATCAAAAGGAACAAAGAGGAGAATATCAAATAGTAGTCTGTTTCTTCAGTTGGTTTGTTTATCAGTGGACCAATGTAATCTTGCTCTGAGATCTCCACACTGAAGTTGCCCTCAATGCCTTGCAAAAAAATGATGGAACTCAAATAAATCCCTAATTATCTATTGAAGTCTTCAATAAGGGTAACATTAAACAGTTTTAAACTGGTGAAGTCATGGCCCTCAATATGACTGCAATAAACTGGGTCATTATAAATCAGAACGCCCTCAATTACTTTCCAGTGTACACGATAGAAGACCTTCTGTTAGTGACCACCCCTCACTCTATGAGTTTAACAGCTACTAGTGGACTCAGTTGGGATGTTTACCATAGACACAACTTAACCCTGGAGGGCAACAGCCACAAAGCCTAGTGTTGGAGTGACTGTGGAGTTTTTGTGCCTAGTGTTGGAGTGACTGTGGAGTTTTTGTGCCTAGTGTTGGAGTGACTGTGGAGTTTTTGTGCCTAGTGTTGGAGTGACTTTGGAGTTTCTGTGCTAGGATTTGTGCAAAGAGTCAGACAGTTGTCATGTCTGACAACCCACCCACACCATCATTTGGAGAGAGTCACACTGGAAATACATCATTCTGTATTTGCAAGGTCAGCAGAGCTTCAATCACTGATCTTCACATGTATATCCCACTCAGATTTAAGAGTCCTATTCATATTCATTCCCACTCAAGAAGAACACCTTAAATCAAACTCACCAGTGTTGTTCTTGACAAACATTCTCAGATCTTCCAGTGTTATTGAATTATTGAATTTCAACACAGGCTTTCCTGAGTGAAATAACAGGATGGTGGGAACAGCAACCACTCCAAAACGAGTATTTAAACTAAAAGGAGCAAAATAATGTTATTCAGCTGATCACAAACTGAGCTGTGAAAAACAACACTGAAAAATGCCTCCCTTAGAGGAAGGGCATAAGAAATTTCCCACCAATCCTTTAACACCTATGAATTGATTAGTAATTCTCTCTCTTAACTGTAATACATTTTCTTGTAAATCAGTGGCAAGAATTTGGCACTCTATCATGATAACCCTAAGGTTGATTTGTCAGTTCTTTTCTCCTTTTACATTACTGGCTTTAATTGTCTTTAAACCAAAAGGGGTCCTTTTCTTTATGAAAGTATTAAAAAAAAAATTTGAATAGGTTTGACTTTGAAGGCAAACAACCCCACACAGTTTGACTGCAGTAAAAGTCAGCACCTTTCACCAGGGCTTGAACCTGTGTCCCTCAGATACATTAAAAGGAGTAACTTTCTAAAGAAACTGTGGTGCTGCATTGGTAGGTGTATTGCAAGATAATTTCATCATATCAACTGAGTTTATAATCTAAATTGGCAACCCGAGGCTGTGGTCTAGCAGTGCCCAGTGGCCCCTGGTGTCTCACTTTTGCTCTTGGGCGATTCAAGAATTTTAGTTTTTTCATATAAAGCATATGCTGGGCACCCTGGATTTCACAGTTTCAGAGCACTGGGCTCCATTCAATTTTCCTTAGAGCACAGCCTTGCAACCATAAAGAGTTTCTAAGTCTTAACAAACTTTCATGTATATATTGCAGAGATGCCAACCTTTGGGGATCTAAAGTCCGAAGAATTTTTCTTATGCCACCATAACATCAACTCAGCAGCAGCCCTCCTCCAACTAAAAACTTGATTTCCCCCTCCCCATCAAATCAATCTCCCTTCCCAAAACTTGTTTACTTTTTGTAAAGATCTGGTTACTTAAAAAATGCTTTGAGAAATGGTAAGATTAGTTTGTAAAACCAAAATTGTTTTAACTCGACTAAAATTTAATCTGGGAATACCATGTTAGCCTGCAGTGAAATAAAGCCTTTGAAAGCCAGTTTATTGCTTTCCTCCAGAAGATTTGGCGCACCATAAGGTAGGCCAGGAGACTCATTCTGTATCTGAGAGCCTCCCAGCTAATCTGGGAGAGTTGGCATGTTTGATATTTGGCACTAATTCTCACCGAGCTTTGAAGCCAAATGTTGGCAGTGAGGCAAATATGTAGAGTTCTTTGATCCAGGTAAAGGAATCTGAACACCCAAAAACAGTTTGACATCCTAACCTAGACTCACCTATGTTGTTTGTGGGCATCCACTGCCAGAATGGGTAAATTGTTGTACACTCTTCCCATGGCGTTATACAGCGGGGAAAGTTTAGCAGAAAATGGACATTAGCGGGTGAAAAACAAAACAACTGCACAAGAATCAGTCTCGTTATCTGATGTCGAATTAATTATCTGTAGCAATTCCTCTGCATTAACTATGATCACACTCTGTGGAAGGGAGTCATTATGCTCTGAGTTGTTTCTTCCCTTACAAAACCATTTCGGAGTGGTTGTGGAGTTGCTGACTTCAATTTTACGCTCCGTGGTATTTTCAGTTTGAGGCAGATTTCCATCTAAATCAGTTTCATTTGCTGCTATAACCTCCGTTTCGTTTGATGTTGCAGTTATGTTGAATATCTCCGAGATGGTGTCATTTTCTCTTTCCGAAACAATGCTGTCAATAACCAGTTTTTCATCTGAAAAATACAAATGCATTCGGTTTTCTAAGATTACAAATGAACTTACAGCCACTTGTATGATGCTTTGAAAACCCCAGTCAGTTAGCAATTACCTTCAACTGAGTCATTCCCTGATAAATCTTCAGCTTCCTCGGCCAAGGAACTCACAAAACCGATAATAAGCAAGCCACAAATCCATGTCAATTTGTCCGCCATATTTGATGTTTTCAAGTCTACAACGAGCATGCCTGACGCGACAACTTGCTGACCTAAACAGATCTCGGAAATTTACATGAAAAAAGTTGGATTCATAAAACCGAGTATTTAAACAAGCATTCAGGAAAAAAACTGTAATAGAAAAAGAAAAAAAAAGGAAAAAACAAAAAAACCCAAGATAAGAAGGTAAGCAATATAAAATTGATAAAATGTAACATGCTAGCCCCTTGAGAGATTTGAACTCTCGACCCCTGGTTTACAAGACCAGTGCTCTAACCACTGAGCTAAAGAGGCCGCCTCGCTTTACGGGGTAAATATTGTATACTTATACAACATTTCTCATGGAATTTCTCATGTCAGACTCCTCGTGGACTTTTCCCCCATACCAAAGTACACCCTTTTTTATCAACAACGCGGCGAGTCCCTCTCCCTCTTATTATCCGACTCAGGGCGGTTTTGTTCAGATAGTGGTCAAAGCCTTTGTAGATTTATAACAATTTGATTCATCTTTATAATTTTTTTTTTTTTTTTTTCATGGTTTTATTTCATTCAAACATTCTTTCCACCCATTTGGCGTAACCAGGGGATCTCTTGTTTTATCGATGACTTCATTTGACGTAACGCAACCCCTTTTCCTAAAATGTCCACTTTCAAAGTTTTCAATTTAGTTTTGATCTCAGGAATAGTGCTATATTTTCTTCTTTATGTTCTCTTAATCGGGCATTCACCACATCTGCCAGTGGTGAAAATTTATTTTGAAGAAGAACCGTCAAAAAGCGATGAAAGGGACCTTACACCCGAAACGTCGTTTAATTTTGGATCTAGAACAAAGATAAATGACAGTTTCAATTCTTCTCTGATACCAGAACTTTCGATGAAAGACGAAAAAGCGCCAGAAGAAGTTAGAGGCAGAGAGGAAAATACTGTGAAGACAAGTAGCCTTCTTTCATTTCTCGAAGGACTGGGTATTCCTATAAACAAAGCCCGTATTATGATGGCAAGCGATGTTTCAAAGGAAGTTCTCCCTCGAGTCAATCCAAACGGAATTTCTTTGACAAAGTTGATGGAGAAAATGGATGCGGAGTTTGATGTTGAAAGGGGTACACCGTGTCCAACTAGTCACTTAAATTCAGGTGAGTCAAAAAAAATCAACGAAGATAAATAGTCCGCAGATGAGCTGCAATTAAAGAAGCCTGGAAAGAATTGAGTTTTCGAACAAATTTGAACCGATACTCCTCATTTATTATCCATGCGTCTAAACACAAAAAATTTTTTTCTAATCGCGTTCAGAGAATCTACTTGATTAACTTTCCATCATCGTCAGGACTGAGAACTGTGACTTTGAAACCGAATGATTCTCACTGCCACTTCTAAAAAGCCACTTCTAAAAAGTATGAACACAATTATAATACTATTAAACAGATTGTATTTTGGAATTTAAAAGTGTAACCTGACCGTTATAAAATTGACTCGAAATGCGGTAAACATTCTATTACAGACACCGCCATATTGAATCATTACTGCTTAGGAGCCTAGCCTAGCCAGTCACCTTCGACTCAACAAAGACCCAATCCCTTTTAACAAGGGACTATGGGTTTCGTCTTCTCTTTAACAATTAGGAGTGGCATGATAAGGCAATTTTCACCTAGAAAATTTTTTTTCCTGCCATTGTAGATAAGCGACTAAGTTTACCTAGGAGTTTTTAATATGGCGGCTTAAACAGTTAAGTATTTAGCACATCACGGAGGCTTATTTTCGACCGATGATGTCATTCTTTTAGACATCGAAACGCGGTAAGAAGTAACTGTTCGTGTAACTTTTGATAACAGAGATAGAATAATCTGATTTCTGAAGCAAAATGTATCATCTATTTCTTTATTATCTACCTTGAGAACTCGCGTAATTGCGGAAGGGAAACCCCCGGCGGAAGGCGAAAGAGGGTGGAAGAGAAATCGTCATCGAATATCATATCTACCTGGACATATTCAAAGACCTATTGGGCCCCCAGCTTTATTTTGATTTTGGAAAAACAATCTTTATTTTCAGTTGGTTTGTTGGCGGTTTACAACAATTCATTGAAGCTCGAGGAAGTGGAACGTGAGGTAGATTTTGTGCAGAAAGGTGGACAGTGGAAACCTGACTGTGTACCCAGGAAAAAGGTTACAATGTGATTAAATTACCTAGGCAGCAAACAAAGGAACAAATGAAAAAATGAACGAGTGAGCGAATGAACGAATTTATTTATTTATATTAATTTTAGTAACTTCTATTTAGTGACAAAGAAAAATGATTAAAAGAATAAAAAACGGTACTAAATGAGGGACTAACGTAAGGACTCGAAGTCCCAGCGAGGTCAGCCCCCAACGAATGAACGAATGGAGGAATGAACGAATGAGCGAATGAATGAATGAATGAACGAATGAATGAATGAACGAACGAACGAACGAATGAGCGAGTGAACGAATGAATGAATGAACGAATGAATGAACGAATGAATGAACGAATGAATGAACGAATGAATGAATGAACGAATGAATGAACGAATGAATGAACGAACGAATGAAAGAATGAATGAATGAACGAATGAGCGAATGAATGAATTAATGAATGAATGAACGAATGAACGAATGAATGAATGAACGAATGAACGAAAAGTCCAAGCAAACGAAAGAACGGAATACAAGAGTGAGTCCTTGAAGGATTGAATAATCGAACGATCTAACAATGAGGCTGTAACCTCGCAGTTCATAGGCGTAAAATGAAACTACTTTAATTCAAGATTTATCTCATTTTTCAGGTAGCCATAGTTGTTCCCTTCAGAGACAGACAAGAGCACCTTAACATATTCATAAGACATATGCACAAGTATCTCCGATGGCAAATGTTAGAGTACAGAATCTTCATTATAGAACAGGTGACCGGGGTAAGAAGGGGGGGAGGGGAGGGAAAGGGAGGTGGTGAGGCGGGCAAATATATTTTAACTAGCCTACGTGCAGCCGAACGAAAACCCGGTTTTATTCGTCTGCGAATTAGCGACAAATATCTTGTTCTGGCGTATGGAGATCTGGGTACTAATATCAGTACTTCGTTCTGCATTTTGTCTCGAAGACACGCTGGAATATCCCTTCGCTTGAGGTGTTGACGTTAAGATTGAGGTACATTCTTCCTAAAAATGGCTCTTATTTGGTGTAGAATTATCAATTGCAGCTATTGATGGTAGCTCAACTGGTTCTTTGGCAGAGTACCGCGATTGTTGTGAATTTAACTGCTCGTTCGGGCGAGGTGTCGAAGGTACTTGTTCATCATCCAAGCGTCTCATCTTCGGTGTTGAACCCTCGTTTGTCACGGTAGGACCACTTCTCTTTAGTTCAGGATGTTCACTGATAGTAGAAGCTGGCCTATCAAACAATTCTTGTAACTCCTTCTCAATTTAGGTAGGTTCTCGACAATTGCAAGTTCTCTTCGCTTTTTCAACAAAGCCAGGCATGACTTGCAAATGTGCTCGCAAGGATTTTCGCGAGTGAATTTGAGACTCCATAGTTCTTGAGCTACATTGAATTTACCTCTCCCTTTTACTAGATATCTTTCCTGGTGATTTATATTATTCTTCGAACAAACTATACGTACGCGTTCCATTAAAACATTCGAGCGCTCGTGCTTAGACTTGCCCGGGAAAATAAACATGGCATATGAGGCAACCTGGTGCGAGTGATTTTCAGCCAATGAGCGCCCTCGTAAGGAACAACCAATCGAAACTAAGTACTCGAATCTCGGTACTTAGTTATTTGTCGCTGATTCGCAGACGAATAAAACTGGGGTTTTCGTTCGGCTGCACGCAGGCTAATTTTAACCGGTGTCTCAAGTTTAGTCTCTTTCGCGACTCAACCCCTCATTTCCAAGTCCTCGCATGGAATTTCCTGCGACATGAACGAAGAAGCTTTCCAGTTACTCGTTATTCGCCTCACCCGGCCAACCCATCCCAAAGTAGGTGAGGTTTCGTCGTGCTTTCCACACAAAACGCATACCCTGATTCAGCCAAGGACTAACATGTGGTTATTTTCCAGGCCGACAACGAGCGCTTCAATCGTGGAATGCTAATGAATGTTGGGTTTAGTGAAGCAATGAAGGTCGGTAACTTCACATGCGTAATATTCCATGATGTGGATCTCATCCCAGAGGATGCTAGGAATGACTACAGCTGTCCTTCCTCTCCGCGTCACATGTCCACTGCTGTAAGCCGCATGGACTACATGTTAGTATTCATAACAAAAAAATTTTTATTTATTTTTTTTTAAATTTGGTTTTCAGGTTTTTGTTAAAAGTAAAGGGAAAGGTCTCTATTTCTCTAAACAACATATGTGTTTAGTTACAATTTTAAGGTTGAAATCAGACAGGCGCCTCTGGCAGCCGTGTTTAGTCCGTAGCGATTTCACCTACCCACCCAACCCACGCAACCCACCCCAGGGAGGACATCCATCACACAGTAATCTCGTGCGTGAGAAATTAAGGTCTTCTATCCCAACCCTGCAGGATATTTTATTTGATAAAGCAGGTTACTAGGTAGGCAAGACTAAACTCCTGATGTGGAGACGAGACCTCCATTTATTCGTCCCTATCCGAGAAGACTAGAATATCTAACCATTTCTTGATATTAAAGAAAGGAAGCATATTCTTCTCAATTAATTTTAAGACCCTGAGTGTTGGTCCGGCCGGTATTGAACTCTCGACCTCCCGCACAGCAGTCCGGCGCTCTCCCAATTGAGCTAACCAGGCGGCGGTTTGTTGTATATAGTCTTCCGGTTAGTTAGCCTGCATGCAAGCAGTAGTGGCAAATATTCGGTCGCCATATTGGACGGGTGGAAGATTTGGGACGAGAGCTTAGTCACTCGTCTCCACCGTGAGTCTCAGATCTTCCACCCGTCCAATATGGCGACTTAATATTTGCCGCGTTGAATCACAAACTACCGCCCGCAAGCATGAGCGGGCTAATAGCTAGTACTTCACAGAGCTTTGATCAGAGTAATACCACAGCCAAACAGATTTAAAATCAAACATCACAAGATGCCAATGATAATTTAAAGAAAATGCTGAAAAATTTGACGAATTCTTGATCAATCACATGGTCAGAGATGTAAAACTAATATCTAAGCCGCCCGTGATTTAGACAGATACGAGACAAAGGCACGACGTTATTCGGGTTTTTCGGATTTGAGATTCTGCTGTTTTGGAAGGTTTGAGGTTTCTGTATTAAGTTTTGCCCAAGGTTGAAGTCTGTTTACTTTTGCCAACACAGATTAAAGTACGAGACCTTGTTTGGTGGTGTTGAAGGTTTCTGGGTCGAGCATTACCGCCACATCAATGGATTTCCAAACCGCTTCTGGGGTTGGGGCGGAGAGGATGATGATTTGTATGTCAGGTTTGTAAAAAGAGAAAAAAAAAAAAAGGGAAAAGAAAATATTTAAATAACATAGATAACACGTTGTTGAGTTGTCAGGTTAAGGTGTAGTGACGTCACTACTAGTCTTAATTCTACGTCATGTCAAAGAACGTCAGATTCAAAGCACCGTCGAGCAACTTTGTTCCCAGTGTCTCTCCTCTTCTCCTTCGAGAAATGAAGAAGCGAAAGGACCCTGGGAACCAGGTTGACCGTTCCATGTTTGTCAAAATCATTTCACTCTTCTGTTGCCAAGTTGCAATATCATATCAGTGAGGGATAGAAAAGGTGTAAGTACTTTTAAATGAGAATTGTGTCAATCGAAGCATGAACGAGAAATTCACGTTCTGAATGCGAGTAATTCACTCACCGTTTAATTACAAATTACAAGGTATTACCTTTTAGCGCATTCGCTTCAGGCGATTAAGATTCCAGAATTTATAACAGTACACGAAGTTCGGAAACTCGCGTGACTTCATTCCCTCTAAACCAGATAAGTTTAATCGAGTACTTTTGTGAATTTGGGATGCGAGACACACTTGCGAAACTATTCATGCGACAACCATACCATACTTTTGCGTCCCTTCCCTTTATCGTCTTAGCATCTCTCTGAAAGCGTTTTATATTGTAAGAGTGGTGAAAATCTCTAACCTTAAGACAATCTACCTTTACCACCCTGTATTTAAAGTTTTTAAACTTGCTTCAATGTTCAGAATCACAGAAAGGCGCCTGAGTTTCACTCGGCCGGCTCATATGATTGGTCGATACACCATGCTGGATCATACACACACAGAAGAACAAGAAAATCCTCTAAGGTAGAAATAAATACACCTTATTCCATGCTTTAACATATTATACGCGCAGATACTTTGCGAGCTACGTAGTATTTCTTGCGAGCCCCGTATTAGCGAGGAAAAATACGAGCAATTCGAAAAATGTCTGCTCGTATTATATGTTAAACTATTGAACAAGGGATTTTTAATTGACCTTTTCTTTCATTACTAGTATTTTGGCATGTAGGTTTGGAAATACATCCCTCGATATTGCTGAACATCGAATTTATTACAGCGTGAAAGACTAGCACAACACAACCGAAACCATTGGAGTGTATTTTTTATCAGACTAACCGGGCTCACGCTAGAAACGTCAGCTTTTAAACTCCTCACAGAGGGCGATTTACATTATGAACTCAGTTCATAAAACCAGATTACCTTGTTACCTTCACCGACGCAGTACCACAATTTCTTTAGAAACGTACCCCCTCTAACAAAACAATAAATGCGCTCAGCTTTCCGTCAGTATTTTTCCCTGTTCTCCAACGTAACACCGTGGCATATTTTCGCGTTCTGATGTGGAAAAAGGCGTGGAAGTGGAATGAATAAGTGTGTTGAAAACCCTATCTAGACCTCTCTCTCGAAATCTCTCAAATGACTGATTGTTGAAAAAAACAAATTCAAAAAACAATAACCAATCATAACACAGAATACTTCTCAGAAGTAACCGATGAGAACTGTGTGGCCAATCAAGTTGCACCTAAGTTTTGGTTGGATCTGATTGGCTGAAATGCCGCTGCAGGTTTGTTGGAACAACAACAGGGCAGTTCCGAAAACGCGGAGTGCGGAGTCTAAAAAAAAATGAAAAAAATAAAAAATAAAATGAAACAATTAAAAGAATAATTAAAAACATAAATACAATAGAAATAGAAATTTAAGAAACAAAAATAATAGTTATTAAAAAAATTCACGCCCCCTGAAGTGGACTTCATATGGTATATTAAACTCAAGATTTTCATAGTTAGCAGTTACTTTTACCACTTATCACCAGCTTTAAAGGATTATTTTAAGTACGTTTATCCCCGTCACATGCCTTTCCATGTCAATTGATTGAATGCCTTGGCCAAAGGAGACACCTTATCCCTCAGCCTCTTTTCCATGCGTTCGGTTAGTTGAGTCATAGCTCGGAAAACGGTGTGCGAAAAAATCGGGAAAAAGTGCTTTTTTTTTACTCTGTTTTACGTTAAAAGCCTTCAAGTACTGTGTATCAACTTAACTTTATTTCCAGCTTGAAATCAGTAAGTTTCTTCCAGAGAAGATATTAGATTCTACCAGAAAAAAAATACATGCCGCAGTCACGGTAGTTGCACGTGGAATTGACGAGACAAGCAACCCTGTGCAGTTAAATGGCTTTTTTGGGAATACATTTTATTTTTATAATTTGATTTCTCAAAGTGTAACTTTACCTGCGTATTGACTTGCTTCTCTATTTGTCAATCTACTTTTTTCATCTTTCTATTTTTCAGCGCTGAATATCTTTCAAGGTTTTAGTTTGAGCTTTGCGAGAACTTTAGGACGCGCAGTTGACAAGTTGTGAGAATGGTTCAAGGGTTAATTCACACGGACAGTTTATTTTTGGAAAGCAAAGCTTGAGATTGTTTGGAGGCAGTGCGGCTTTCCAGCAAAACCGAAGGTGTAATTTCTCCGTTTTCTAGACATGGTCAAAACTGGACTGTTCTTTACTCTTTTTTTTCCGTAAACGGTGAACTGCCAACTGTGAAAATCTTGAGTTTGATATACCATATGCACAGTGCACTTCAGGCGGCGTGAATTTTTTAATAATTATTATCTTTATTTCTTAAATTTCTATTTCTAGTTTATCTATGTATTTAATTAGTCTTTTAATTTTTTTTTTTAATTTTTTTTAGACTCCGCACTCCGCACTTTGATCCCAAATTCCTTTGACCTCTCAACTGAGAAATGAAATTCCTTTGTCCAAAATAAATTTTGAAGTAAAGGAATGGAAATCGTACACAAGAATTCGTAATTTGAACTTCACTTCGGGATTGTTACAGGTATGTTCTTTTTTAAAACAGGCATGAGGAACTTCGTAGAAGTGAGGCGCATATCGATGCGGACGGATTGAACACCCTCACATACAACGTGATGGAATTCCAGGAAAAGCCGCTGTACACTCTGATATCTGTATCACTCCAATAGTGTAGAACGCGAACGTAATGGAAACAGTCGACGATGTAACATACTAAGTCAGCGGTTGTACCTCTTTTCGTCCCTTAGCAACATGAATGACCCATCCTTAAAAGACTAGTATATCCTGATCTGAAATCGAGGGGGTTCGCTGTTCTGCTGACTTTCTCAAAAATTGCTGGCGGACTGTAGTGGTCCTGAATAGAGAAAGTGCGTGATATTTTCGAAGTCTGGCGACCTTTATGTTTGAGTCGAGTACGATACTGTAATGACAAAGTGGATGCTAGTCACTCTTTAAACTCAAGGTATTAATTGACTCAAAAAACGGTAGAGACCAAAACAGCACACGATCCTGTACCCTTAAAGCGGCCCCTTAAAATAATTAAATCTCATCTTTAAATTCCTCGTTAAATTTATTAACAACTCTTGCACTACTGTAGTGATAATATACAAACACCGTACAATTACAACGTTGGCTTCCCTCGCATTTGAGGGCGAAATCTACACGAAAAAACGCGCTTACTTTCTCTAGAATCAATCTTCCGCTTTATAAACAAAGATTGCGCCAAGATTTTCCAATAACTTTTCGTTGTACTCATTCTCAAGAATAGATCCCAATACCGTTCCATAACTAACGACCTACCCAGACAAACGAAAAGGATTTCGTCTCTAATTTATATATAAATTATTAAAAAAAATAGAGAACTCTGGTACTATTCGGTGATAATACATGAGCCGTACGTAGCCTTCATAATCCTGAAATAGGTGAAATAAATCTCCTCGCTTGGGAGGTACATCATTCTAAAACTTCCTTGACGAATGTTTTCTCAATAAATTCCAAGTTTTAATTCCGCTTTAATGGGCCTTTCCCTCATTTCCTATACCGCATTTCATAATTAGCTACAAGCCGTGAGGAGAAACTGTACAGACAACACATTGAATGGTGCTGTGTTTTTTAAGGTTACAGAATAAATATTTTTACATTTTTGGAGTTTTTTCTTTTTGTTCAACAACAAAACAAACCATGGTAAAACCAAGCCTCCATGGCACCCACGGCATGATGTTGCACGTCTCTCTCCTCCCGTGTAACAATAGGCCTCAATAGAGTCTAGCTGTTTTGGAGTGGATTTGGATCAGCTCCTGGTCACAACCAGCGCAGACTCGTTGTCGCCTCTCAATCGGAACGCATCGGCATCTTTCGCAAACTGGCCGATCAGTGATGATTCGTGCAGGAACTTGCCGGAGGCCACGAGAACTGTTCGTGTATGAATCGTCGGTCGAACCTGATGGGTAACACGGTCTTGATAAAGATGATGTGGAATAACTTTTCTGGTGTTCACGCTGATGTGATGGATTGTAAGGAGGAGCAGGTACATAGTGGGCAGGCCGCTGACCATAAGAACCGCGAACTCGGTAAGCACTTTCCGTCCCATCCACAGAGCGCGCGGGCGATGGAGAACGATCGCGAGTTGTCAGCCGTGAGTTCTGAGCTGAATTTCCCACGTAAGATACTTTGGGTCTTGGGCCGGAAATTGTTACACTCGGTGGAGCTTTTGGATTGTCGCTACTTCGGTAAATCTTCGGGTCGTAAGAATCAAACGTGGGAGCTCTTGAATTAGACGGATTCGACGGTGAAATGTAAATCGAACTCGACACTCGTCTGGTCAGAGACGAAGGTCGGCGGTTTTCGGAAGTCTTCGTCTTGTTCTCGCCGACTGGAATAACCTTAGTATAATCCGTTCTCGGCTCCGGACTCGGAGTGCGAATATCAATGTTCTGAATTCGAGCAGCAATTTCACTTTCTCTTTCTCGTTCGTAATGGACAGGATTATAGCACATATGGTCTGGTTTAATTTGCTGTGAGCAAACTCTCGGCCCCATTCCACTGGCTCCGGTTTTGTTCCCTTGAGGTTTGCTTACATAATGTCCACTTGAATACACAGTTGGCCTCGGTTTTACTTTCAAGGGTAGACTGGTGGTGTTTTGTTCTTCCCAGTTGTCTCTTCGGTTAAATCTTGAATCCACGTAACTCCCGTTACTGGAGGACACGGGTACTTCTTGAACCCTGCGAGCTGTAACTTGAGGGGCGGAGTATTCTCTAGCAGGTAGATCCCTTCGCTGGACAGACATCTGTAAAGAAGAAATTGAATGATGAAAAACTACTTTGATATTCGAATCTTTAAAAATTTGTCTTGTTCAGTCTCTGAGTTCCCCTGATAGGGTGTGGAAGGGGGTGTGGAAGGGGGTTGGGATGGGTGGGTACAACCGGAACAGTTGTCACTAGGTCTCTCGGAGGCGAAAAAAAAAAAAAAAGAACGAAATAAAGACGATAACCGCCACTGTATGTTTTACCACAGAAAAAGAAACTACATGCAATTTAAGCGAAAAGAAATGATTTTCGTAGAGTTTTGTATAAACTCGTAGAAATAGAGTAACAGATCCGCTGACTACATACGTATTGTACTGGTGGCGGTTGTCGCTGCTGAGGCATCTGTTGTTGTTGTTGTTGTTGTTGTTGTTGTTGTTGTTGTTGTTGCCTGATCATGTAAGATTCCCTCTGTCTCTGCTGGCGTAAGAGTTCTTCTTCTTTTTGCCTTGAAAGACTGAAAGAAAAAGGAAGAGCATCACCAGCGGTTACTGGCACACAAAGAATTTTGAGTGTGTGACATTCATTGATAGCGGAAAGTTTAACTGTTTGTCTGCAATGTTAGGAATACTGCGGAGGAAGATCACTTCACCCTTTCATTCCCAAGATGCAATTGTAGTCACGACGCCTCACCTTCGGGTACAATTTAACGCCTTTTGAATTGTTTCCGTTTTCGGTTGTTTCGTGCATATTTGTTATTTTATTGGGTTCGCCAGTCATTTTTGGTTACGTCACATTTCATATTTTCGTGTTCATTTTTTATGCATTGTTTCTATTGATTGGCATAGCTTCTTCTACCGTAGTTTTCTTGTCGCCGTTGTTATTATGTTTTGGTCGTCGTAGTCGCCACATAATCTTATAAGTTTCGTTATTTTGTCCGTCATTTTGCATGTTTTATCTGTACTTCGTTTTTCTTTCCTGTTCTGTTTATTTAACTCATTTATGTACATTTGCCTTTAGCGAATCGCTAGTAAATGTGCGAATCTCGTTTGGTTGTGGATTTCGACTACAGCAATCAGTAATCTTCCCTTCTGATTTCTATACATTTCCCTGGAAATCAGACGAGAGAATTGGTTTAAGATCAATACGACACCCTCTTGCTAATATGCTTGTCTGTTCAGGTGACCTATTTGTAAGATAACACATTGGAATCGCAAGGAGAAAGAACATGTTAATCACCTCTGGCAGCTTAAGGGTTAAGCAGAAGCCAGGGGGGGGGGATTTTTCTGTTTCTTAACTGCGCATATCGCGAAGGTTTGCATTTCGCAAGCACGCATCGCTGCGGAATATTTAAAGCGAGGGGCTACTTCTGCTGGTTTTTATTCTCGAGGTTGTACTCAGTTCAAGGAATTGAAACCTTGCAGTATAAAGGTGATGTTTTTGGCGTTATTGAGGCGTACGGAGGCGAACACAAGGCAAACACGATGCACAACTCACGCACGGGGGGAGTTATTTTTTTCGCGCCCCTACCCTGTCTTGCGAGTCCATTTGACTGCGCAAAATTACGTCTGTTCTGCAGGCTAAGGAAATGACATCCAACATACAACTCCGATAATTCTTCAATGCGACACACGATGCCAAAAATTCTAATAAAAAAAAAAGAGTTCCGCTTCTCACGCACGAGTACGTGTCCTTGCGTGTCCTAGCTGCGTATGTGCGTGCGTGCCACTTCTCCGGCATAATAGTAAGATCTACCTTGTTTCTTGCTAAAATTGTGTTTACCTGACAGAAGCAGTTCCACTGTCCGTTATAGGACCGGATTGCAAAACGCGGCCCAGATTTCTGGCCCGTGCCTGGCAACTGTAGCGCTTCTTTTGAGCGTAGTCCTTCCTGTTTAGGTCCGCATTATTATCCTCTGTAACCATTCGAAACTTAGCTGAGGTAAAGAAACAATAATCATAAATTAACTATGCCTTGGCCAAATAATCATGGCAACTTAGCAGCAAAGAAAAGTGACAATTATAGCTATCTGTCATGAGTAAATAATTATCACGAATTTGCTAAGCCAAAAATTATTTACATCGTATAAGCAAAGTAAAGTGATTATCATAATTATCTGTCATGATAAAACAATTATCATAACTTGAATAGTTACAATGAACCTTGAACACCAAACCCACTTAAGGTTGGTCGTATTGCCCTAGGTGGGAATGAACCATTAAGGCTGTGATGAAGAGGTCTCGTGATATCTTCGTTCGAATTTTTAATGAAGAAATTTCTTTAATTTTTAGTAACAAAATCTCTCTCACGCGCTTCATAAAGTTTATCGGCAAAATGTTCTCTTGCACGGATATTTCCCTTGACTTGTGAAATTCGCTCTGCCCCACCCAACGATCCATTCCGTTCATTGCCTAGTTCACGTAAATAGATAAATGCTCAGTCCGAACTAAAACACTACTCACTAGCTGCCTGGCTGCAGTAATCAAAAGCTTTGACGAAATCCTATTGATTCTCCCAGTCCTGTGATGCCTGGAGGTACAGCTCTCCTTGTTGAATGAGGTTGTCGATACGATCAATAGGATCAGCTGAGTAAATCAATTAGACAAAATGTTAGCAAAGTAACAGAACTTTTCTCCTATGTAGATATGCCATCTTTTTCATCGGGTTCACTTAATTTTCGCGACGATGCGTTCAATTCTGATTCGTTCAACAAGTCTTTCCTCTCTAAACAAAACTTCTCACCCTACGGGGTAAATCTTGGTTTGCAAACAAAACAACGCCATGAAAACGCTCTTTTTTAAAAACCGAAAGACTTGGAAAAGGCAACTTAACTTTCACGATTCACACGAACACGAAACCTTGCAAAAAAGTTAACGTCGCTGCTTTCTGTATTGGAACTTAAATGGACACACAAGACAGGGAAGGGGCGCGAAAAAATAACTCCCCCCCCGTGAGATTGTTGGCAGAAGTGAAAACAAGAGTTCCGCTTTCCACACACGAGTACGTGTCCTTGCGTGTCCCAGCTGCGTGTCAAGGACGCGAACAAACATTTCTACCCACAATCTCGTACCCTTGTTTTCCGCTGTGGACGAGAGTTTTCGTTCGTGAGTTTTCAAAGTAAAAACCTCATTTTCAAATTCATCCAAAAAGTATTGACGATGCCTACAATATACGCATGCGCTTTCTTTTACCTGGGCGCGGGGGCCAGTTATCGTACTGAGAGTGACGCCATGACTGGTTAAAATCGATGAGGTCCTCATCACTACCCCCGTGGTTGGTATCAGTTGAGCTAACTGACCCCCCTGCTGAGGAAGGTGTAGAGCTAATTCCACTGTCATTATACATCGCTCTGACTTGAGCAGAGTGCAGCGCTTTGGATTGTTCGTAAAGTTTCATGATTTCCATTTTCGCCTCTTCATGCTTGGGACTAAAGGGAGAAGATCAGTGAGCCACTATCATTTCACTGTTTTACGCTTGAAGTACAGAGACATGAAAACTTAAATTAAGACATAAGGGACCTTAAGCGGTCACGGACTAGAACGGCGAAGAAAAAGTCGATTAAAAAAAATGAGTTGAAATCGATAGTAAGAATTTCGCGAATGGCTGGATGTGTTTACTGTCTCTTACGGCATCACACCACAACCTCAACATCACGTGTGTGAGCAGCGCTGAGTTCCTAATTCAACTTAAATAATTGGCCGTCGTGGTTTTCGTTCTCGGACAACGTAAATTTTGCTGATTTCTCGTTGTTGTTGGGCAGAGGTTGGCGAAGAAATGTAAACAGGTTTAAAATGAACGTGCTGGCCTATTATTCTGCCAATTAGATCTCTTCTTTTACCACGTCCTCGTTACCGTTACGTCGTGGTTTGGTTTACTTAAGGTCCCTGATGATTGCAACAGAGCTGAAAATTTGCTAATTCTGTTACAAGAGCAGTTGCGTTTCTGCTCTTTCACACAAAATTGAGAGCGTAACCCCAACAGATGCTGACACCACGACACACACGACCAGAGAACACAGAGAACTTCACCTAAAAATCCACGCTTTGATCTTCTATATTGCACACTGCTACCTACCTCAAATCTATAAGATCAGGGTCGCCGCTAGACTCACTAGACCCAGTTGAGGAACGTCGGCATTTCTGAGAACCTTTCTTCTTAGTCTGCTTCAAGTGCGACACTGCAAGAGCCGGGTTCACTGCGCTCATGATGGCTGTTCCAATCCTTTTAAAGCTCGGCCTTTGCCTCTCCTTCCCAGGACTACTGGCTGTGCTGTCTGACGCGTTACTTGGCGACCGTGATAACTCTTTCTTAGGATTGGACACGTCTCCGGATGAAAGACTCTTCTTTGACCTGAACAGTGACTTCTTATCTAGTTTTGGTTTTTGGCGTGATTTGGATTTTTTGAACATAACAGGGCTCTTTTCGCTGTCACTTACACCATCGGCTATCCCTCTTTCTGTATCAAGACTTTTCACCCACAGTTTCCCTTCACTTCCCTTCTCGTGAACTGTGCCATTGATGAGGGTTCGTACCTTCGGTGCTGAATCAGGATTCACAGGTGTCCCAGCAGGGTTGGCATAGAGAAGTAGAAGGGGCTGATAGTGACACAGGCGGCATTTCTCCATCATAACCAGCCAATCAGAGCCGATCTGAAGCAAAATATTGACCTTTAACTCCCACAAGTGATTAAGTGATTAACCACTAACTTCTCCCTATGATTTCCATACATTATCCAGCAAACAGGTAATGAGAATACTCAAACTTATCAGGGAGAAGTTATCCTGATCTGACACCAAACTCTCATACCTAATTTACAAGGAAATATGTAGTAGCCTGCGGGGAGAATTTACAATTAGATCTTGAGGAGTAAATGGTTGATTAATCTCAAATTATCTCTTGCATCTTCTAACATACAGGTTAAGGATCAAAGTCAGGATGCGAGCAAATATGCCCCCACCCTCCCCCAACCCAACAATACTCCACTGATAAGAAGGGTTAACATTGGATTAAGGGAGGGGTGGGTTGGTGGGCAGGATCACATTCCTGCTCTCTCAAATAAATTCAAACTCACAAAATTAATTCAACCCCTGTTAATTTTTGACAATCCCCACTGATTCAAAATATGGTCACTTTTGGAGCTGTAAATTAAGTTGGGTGTTGTGGGTTAGTTTTTGGAATTTGAAATTCTTGCTGGCTGGACGTGAAATTCAACACAACTTGAGAATGTACATTTTTTTTTACTTCAACTGACCTCTGTAAATTTTCACATGAACCACACGAGGCAGAACAATATTCAGACTACAACTAATAAAAATTTCACGTTCCATCAAAAGAACCCTTGCAATACAAGTTAAAAATTAATCCTTTGCAGCTTTTCTTTCCAGCCTGCACACCCACCTCTTTGACTCTGGCATCATCAAAGTAAATCCAAGTTTGCAGCTTGCTATGGAAAAAAAACGTTGAGTAGTGTTTGCCGTAATACGTCACTATGCCAACCAGCTGCAGACAGGCATCCTTGGCTTTTTCATCATACACTTGATGGTACAGCTAGAAAAAGAAATGAAAATTGAAGATAAAGGTTCAGATTGTACACCATCAATTTTTGTTTCAAGTCATTGAAAACTGGAATTAATGCAGGGAACAGGTTGCCCAAGGGAAAATGTCATTTTTGAGAAACAGAGTACACTTATAAAACAAACTGCACTTACATCAGACAGCTTCAGAGTTGTTCCAATGCATTGTAAAACATCAGCAATATGTTCAGCATCCGGACACTCAGAGTCCCAGATAAGACCAACGCTCACTGCAAGTAATACAGCAGTTGATCAATCAAATAACGTCAATCAATACAATTAATTTATCAGTCAGTTAGTCAATACCTCATTCGATCATTCAATACATCAATCAGTCAGTCAGTAAGTAAGTCTTTCAAAATCAATCAGTCAGTCAGTCAGTACGTCTTTCAATCAATCAGTCAGTCAGTAAATCTTTCAATCAATCAGTCAGTCAGTAAGTAAGTCTTTCAATCAATCAATCAGTCAGTAAGTCTTTCAATCAATCAGTCAGTCAGTAAGTCATTCACTCATTTAAGCAGTCACTGGATCAGTCATCTGCTCATTCAGTTTCAGTCAATCAGCTAGTCAATGAATGAGCCATTTCTGAATTATCTTTGGCCTCTTTTTCAAAACAAGGCCTGGTGCTCAACCATGTGTATGAAAATGAATGTCATTTACATGTGAATGAAAACTTGCTATCATATGAAAGGATGAGCACCAGGTCTTGAATTTGAAAAAGAGGCCAAAGGTAAATTTTGAAATGGGTTATTAGTCACTCACTCAATGGGTAAAAACTGCTAAGCCTGTGATAAAAAAGTGCAAGTTCAAAATTTTCTGAGAAAGCAGACTATTTAGATGAATGTATATCAGTGGTCCTTTATCATTTATGCAATGGAGTCTTTTTAAATCTGGTTTGTCCATTGACCTGTAAATTTCATAATTACATACAATTATTTCCTACACTTACCAATATCAGGACAATTTAATAACAAACGTTGAACTTGAACTCTATCATTACAGTCTGGACTCTGAAATAACAGAAAACAAATTTGATTAGAATTGTAAATGACATAAAAGTGACTTACCTTATTTATCCATTTAACCCCCATATCTTAAAGAAATACTAGTTGCCGAGGTTAGGAATGCATTTGAATAACTTGAACTACTTGCAGAATAAGACATCACGTCCCGAGTATCACATTCGATGCACGTATAGAAACTGTAAAATTGATTCTTAAAATTCTGTAAAATTGATTCTTAAAGCACTGTTATTTTACTTTTACAGTTTCTATAAGTGCGTCGAATGTGATAGTCGAGTCCGTGATGTCTTATTTTGCAAGTAAAAAAAAAACCCAGATCTGATTGTCAATTCTTGCCTCTACCTGCTTCACATTTCCTTGTAAATTGATTACTGTACAAGAATTTGGAGAACAATCAAGGTAAAAACTTTTACCTTATAAGTTTGAATATTCATACTACCTGTTTGCTGGATAATGCATGGATATTATAGGGAGAAGTTACATGTTAATCAAGGTTACTAGTGTCTTACTTGGCACTCTCTGGTGTCCTGTCCGGCTCTACGAAGCAGACATCCAAATTGATTTTCAATTGGCCTTGTGTTATCCCATCCTTTTAATCTCCTGGCTTTAGCACTGAAAGCAAACAAAACAAATCCATTTTAATCCACTAGTGAAACAACGAACACTCAGTCATTCAACAAATAAGATTCAACTCAGTGTAGCACCAGTGCAAAAATGAGAACAGACAATAACTCCACCTACCACAGTGCAGAGGCAGATACATAATGTACAAGCTGAAAGAATGGCAAAGGTTCTGACTGCTCACCACACTCACAAATTGTCTAAAAGAGAAACAAAAAAAAACCCAGGATCCATAAATGTAAATTTAGAATCATTGGGATCACCAACCTACAAAAGATACTTGAGATAAACTCATGTTTAGGTCTGAGGTCTGTCAAGTACTTCTACTTTTTCGATAATTCACTGCTTTTTTCAGTCTTTTTTCATGATCAAAGAAGGAGTTCAGGACTGGTTTCCATGTGTAAAGCTGACATCGTTTAAACATCGTGTAATGATCACGAAACGCCATGTGCAGTCACCAAGCTGAAAGACTAAACAGTCTGCCACATTGACATCATTTAAACAACCTGAAATGTCGGTTTTAAAGATATTTTAACCTCGGAAAATCCCAGAAATGATTCAAAAAATTTTAGTTTTTACAAAGATGAGAGGTGAAAGTTTCAGGAATACGATTATAGCATTTTATTTGTGGCATAATCAAAATCCCCGATAAAGATAAGAAAAAAAAAATTTCTCAATCCTATTTCTTCCATACTTCACTCACTGAATCACTATGGGGCCAAGAGGACAATTTAGTTGAACTATGGAGTTAAACACTTTTCACTGTCTACTTTGTGACCTCAGCCAGCCAAAATCAAAATTTAAGAAGCCGCTGATTATAACAACAAAAAATTGTCAAATAGTTAAAAGAACTTTAGTGTCTGGTATGATGCAGTGTTTTGTCTTAGCCTAAAGACTCTTCAGATACTTTTCAAAAATTTCCAACCAACTTGCTGAGCTTCACGCCCAAAGTTCCATTCAGGAAATATCAAGATGTTAGCAGTCTGGCCCCCTATTGCAGAAAGATTCCCAAATGGAAGTTCACAAGTTACAATATATTACCTGCTCAATAACCTGCATGGCAAATTTTTGGTGCGATATACAGTGTTTAGCATTGCAAGCATCGTCATGTTCATTCTTCGTTACAAGGGCATGCATATGACTGAGGATGTTTTCCTGAAGGAAGAAAGAAATTGAGAATGATAAAGAAGCAGGCAGAATCTCAGCATAGTAATCTCCTGTTATGCAGAAAGATAAGGTGAATCAAAAGAAATTATATACAAGTTAGAGAAGATGTGAAGTTGAATGCTTCATTAAAATTTGAATTTTAAATCTATTTGGACTACATCATGCACAATGGATTATCATAGCTTAGACTACCAGAATCAACAAGGCACTTACAAAGCACTCAGCAGCATCATAAGATTAATAATAATAATATTATTATTATTATTATTATTATTATTATTATTATAGCTTAGACTACCAGAATCAACAAGGCACTTACAAAGCACTCAGCAGCATCATCCATGTCTCCCAACTGAAATCTGTGCTGATTCTGTCAAACAAAATATATCTTATCCTTACTGACACCTCTATCTTTTAGGTAACTATCAAATCCACCAGTGAGGCATATGGCATCCATAGCAAAACAACTGTAGATCCGAGTCAATGGTAACAGACACTAACATAAAGATTTCAATAGGCTGTAAATTGCTCTAATACAGTTGTTAGCACACTACACCTTTGAAATGACCTTAAATTTTCCAGTGATGGTTGCGATACTGATTCTATCCATACTTTGTGGTAATCTGGATCAACACAAAATTAAATTTTTAACCTCCTTGCCTTTCCCAATCAAAGTAACTCTTACTTGTGATCTGAAATAGCTTGAACCGGCAGGCCTGACTGAAAGTTGCAACAAAGCATTCCCTCCTACAACAAAACCTTATTCTACATGTAAATCACCAACCTTAAATGCAGCAGCTAAAGCAACCCGCAGTCCATCTGGTGGTAAAGCATCATTACTGCTGTACTGGAACTGTTTGAATATTAAGTCCAGAGCACAGAATATACATGACTCCCCCATACAGTAATGTCCTTTAATCTCTCGAAAACTTCTCCTGAACACATCCAGATGCCAAAGGACCTACAGGGATAAACTTAGTGAGTATCAATAAATCAAAACTACCTTTACCCTTTACCCATAATTAACAAATGGTAAAATCCACGTTGTACACTATTGAGTTATGGATGCACGCAGGAGGTTGCTAAGTACAAAGGAAGTGTATGAGTCGCACGAGGTGATAGCCTAGAGTGACTCTAGCTTCTTGAGTGCTTAGCAAACCTCTCACGTGCATTAATAACTCAATAGTGTACACTGTTGATTTTTTTCAGGTCTGATTTTCGCTATTGCATAAATAGCGCTATCTTCTGCGAGGATCGTGCATCATACGTAGTGTACACTGTATCATTCATCATTTGTTTTATAACATAACATTGATGCTATAAAAGTATTCATCACTCCTAGCTGACTAGACAGTCATAATATGACATAATCCAATAAAAGATAGCGCACTATGCAAATTTCATTGAACACTGTGGCAAAAGAATTTTCTTTTATTTAACAAATCTTACATGATCAGAAAAAACAAGCGTGCATGGAAAACCAGTCTTTGCATTTGGGTACACCCATGGGCAAATAGCGGATGCTGAATTGACCAATCAGAGTGCACGCTTTACTTTGGTTATGTTATAATAGTGATTAACATCTAATTTCTCCTATCAGTATCACACCTGAAACAAACACTGAGGTTGTGAGAATGGAAGAAATGATCATCAACTACATAAGCTCTTGATTGTTTGACAAATTCTCCTTATATGTATCACTGGAAAAGTATAGAAGACAATATGGAGAATATGCATGCTGATGTCAGGGTGTTAAGGAGAAGTTCAGAGGTAGTTTGTGTCTAGTAGCTAGTGTGCTAAGGTTTTAAGTCAAATTATCAGTTGATCCATTGACCTCTTCATTCTCACAAACTGTCAACTCCCAACACAGTCTGCTATACATTTCTTTTGTTGCTAAATCAAACAACACAAAAAAAAAAACAACCAAAACATCAAAATTGATAACCAGATTTCAGGGAATCCATCATAAAAATTAGTATCTGGAGAATATTATTAAGTTAAAGGAAAATATTCTCCACGTCTGATAGCTCAGGTCAGCATAATCTAGATACAGAATTCTGCTTAGTGGCTAGAAAATTCTGCAATTTTCTATGCCTAATTAACAACACAAATTTGTAAGCTAATGCAAAAATTATACTATCAAAATGCAAGGTTGTTTAGCAGCAAGCCTTTGAAATATGGTACAAAATAATTTAACAACTCAATGCTTCTTCAACTCATTATTCACATACTTTTTTTTAATGAGTTGTTTCCGAATATCACAGGATTCTCACAATTATGTTAATAAGTGTTGCACAATTTGTAAACCTGACCTGCATGGCTTTAAATATTCACCACTCCTAGCTTACTGGACAGTCATAATATGTCATAATCCGATAAAAGATAGCGCACTATGCAAATTTCATTGAACACTGAGACAACTAAAGCATAAGACAATAAGAAATCAATCTCAACAAAAGCTTACATTATTACAGAAATAACTCCTACCAATTAAAATGCAAGTTTCAATTATCCTATATCTTTCAAAGTTGAGTGATCATAGATAAACAATTTCCTGTGATGGAGAAGCCCGATATTGCTTTGGAACACTTAACTACACATGAGGCTAAATTTTGAAAATATTGTGTTCAGTAGGAAAAAAGTGATATTGGTATCAAAATTTATGTAGACTTCCCTTCCTAAGTCGTTGAAGCCCAAACTCTTTTGATATATTTTGTTTCATTATAATGTGATTGAGAGAATGAATTCTTCAACTTAAATGTCTCTAAGCTATGGTTTGCTGAGACATGATGAGGTTTAAAGTGCTTTGATTGAGTAAGTTGCTGTCGTGAAGTTGCATTCATCTCAGAAAGCTCTTTTCAATGAATAAAAGCCAAGTTTTTTGCTGTTTTGGCATTAATGTTCACTTACGCATGACCTTTACACCAAGATTCTAAAAACACGAATGCAAATTAATATATTATCTGAAGATTAATCATAGAGGGCAACTTTTGATATCGATAACAAATCAAAGATGAAAGATCTTTAGTCAGCATGTAAATCCCATTTCGTATCACACACTTTTATACCCTGCAGCATCAGAATACCACTGGAATCTGCGCAAAATAACTTTTAAAATTTTTTATTAATTAGTTTGTGACGGCATGCATACGCTTGGAGTAAGGTCTGGAACTAAAGCTTTTCAGATTCCTTTGTATTCGGTCAAAAATAATTTCAATCATCCACAAAGCACGCTTTAGCATTTTGACAAAACATCTTCACGCACCATTGAGAGCTTTATGCGAAATGAAAACGCGACTCCTTAAAAGGAATCCCTTGCTGACAGGGCGATTAAGTTCATAATTCAAAGCTAACTTCATTGCAATGTTTCATGTCGGCAGAGCATTACCTAATCACACATCCAACAGATATTAACTTCTTTCAATAGTCGAATCCTCGAGATTTTTCAACCCACGTCTTTGAAAACAAAAGCAATACGTGCGCTCCTGATCTCAAAATTCGTATATCAAACGGAAACTGAGCGTTGTAAATCTTGATAACTTGAGAACTCTTTTAGCTAGAGGAAAATCCCTACATCACATCACCGCTACAAATGTCCAACTGTGCGAACATTTAGTGGTCATGTTGGTCATCACACAAGTTTTCAACGCTGTTTTTAATGTGATAAAAATAACACCAAATACTATTATGAGTAAACTTGTATTGTCCGCACAATTTCGCGCACTCACGCTCCTTCCTAAGGAAAAAACTGCGACTAACTACTTCCCTTATAAAACAAAAAGTGGAATGAATGTTCTCTGAATACAGATCGTTTAACTATACAACATTTACTCAGAAAACAAAATGTTATTCTAACCTGAACTGCCGAGTTCAGAAAACAATTATTTTCACCAGGGTTGTTCAACAATCCCTTGTTGTTTGCCATAGACGCTGTCCTTTCTAGTCGCTCTTGCCGGTCCATTTTTTTCATTTTACTCCACCAGTCGACTTTATTTCCACTAATCTTCGCTGACATGCGTTCCTTCAAGCAAAAATGCTACGCATTCTCTTGACGACAATCTTCTGTTGATGGAAGCTCTCGGTGAAAACTCTCGCTTGATGAATCGAACGTCTCGTGAAAAACAAAGAATTATCCCCAGGATTGTCACATTCTCCAGCAAAATTACGTCCTTGCCTGGTACCTAGGAGGCCTCTTGCATTCTTAAAATATCTTTTCAGGCTCTCAAAGCCGTCATAAGCGCTATAAAAAGCTAAAACCTCAACTTGTGACATGAACCCGTCGCCATCTTTGCGTGAAGTGTTTTTCAAGGTGTGACGTCATGAGCTACGCAGGAAATTCCTGGGGAGGAGAGAAGTGATGCGGAGCGGTTTCTTCGCTCGTGAGCCATGCAGGAAGTCACACTTATAAAATATTTCCTTGAATGAGGAAATAATGCAAAATACTTCCGATTCGGTAGAGTTTCGTTTAAAAGCCCTTTGCTTTGATCAAAAGCTATTTTAACTTCTGTAATTCTTTTCATTCCCGTGGTTCTGTTAACGTTCTATGTTGAAAAATTTTATTTCTCATTGTTTCACTTCTAGTTTCGTGCGTCAAAATTGCGTGGAACAACAAATAAAAACCTTTTCCTTTCTTCTCGTGAAAATTCTTATTAAGACAACTAGAATTGGCGAGATTTTAATCATATTTGGAGAATACACCTGGGATAAAAATTTCGTTGGGTGCATATTTTTTTAGTACCCGCGAGAAAAAATAAAACCATGAGCAAACCACATTAGGTATTTTAAGACAAACTTTATTTATTCATCGGGAATTGTAATAAATTATATTGTTTGTCTCACAAAACTTGTAAGCAAAACAAAACTCCAAGTGGATGTATGTGATCAAAAAACACTTCTGTACAAAAACCGCTGTACTCTGCAACTCTAGAATTTAAGTACTTTCTAAATTTTAGTGAAATCAGAATCCCTCAGCCTCGTGTAAACTTGATCGTGTTGCGTTTTTCTTATTTTTGTAATTAAGTTAGTAGCGCCCAACTTGTATCTGTGGAGCACGGTCCGAATCCCGTCGAAACGTAAATTTTTTCCTTTTTTTTAGGCTTCTCTTCTGCAATTGCTTATGGCTCATCTGCGAGGATAAAAGCTTAATCTAAATATTTATTTGTTAGTATATATTGATCGTTGTGACCCATATTTACACCAGGTATTCCTTGAGTTAAACATAACTTTTTCCTAATCTCTCAAATCCCATGTCAAGTGATTTAGGAACATACCGATAAACTAACAATTATGTATTCCAATGACGTCACAAAACAATTATAATTCTCATTTGTTTGTGAGTGTATTCATTTAATCAAACTCGAAGAATACCGCACTCTGATTGGTCAACAGCTGTTTACAAAATTTCGCGTCTACCCGCGGCGACGCGCTATCCGTGCGGGTTTAAATCACAGGTTTCTCAGACCCGGTCTGATTGCTCTTCGACCTCAGCTGTTTTGCGTAGCTTTTCTCGTTTGGATTTTCAAATAAGCGCAACAGCAAAATGCCTCGTAAGGCTATGAAAGTTGTAGTCGAGTTAGATATTCACACGGTAAGTTTTGTCGGCGAAATGTCGAAGGAATTTCAACTGATTCCTTCGCCGTTGCTAACGACGCCAGACCACTGCATGGAAGGTCTTGCATGCGATCGATCCTTCGAGGGTTTTGTTGGAACCTATTTCATAAATTTGTCCGTTCCCATCCACTCTTCAGGTGACATGCCCCGGAACTTTTCTCCGAGATTACGGTTATGTTTATTTGAAAGTAAATTGCATGGGTTTGGAAGTAAATACCAAGTCTGTGGCTCCAACGTTCCCATTGTTCTTCCACGAACGGCTACGGTTCGAGCGGGTGAGTTTCAGTATTGTAACCTGCATTGTGTATTTGTTCTCGTCACTTGCGGCCGATCTTTTGGAATTTTTGCTTCGATAATATGTCTTACTTTCTTTTCTTAGGTATTTAAAAGCTGTCAGGACCCAGCGTACGTGACTGTTCACTTAAAAGGTAAGCTACATTCACCGAATCACGATAGAAGAATTCCGCCATATTTGATGGTATGGAAACCGGATACGAAAGTTTACATCGCGTTTGTTTGAAATTATTTAGGTGAAGACGTACTTGTGGAGCTAAGGCAGCACGATGATTATATTTCAGGTGAGAATACTTTAATTTTTCAAAATCCCTCTAAATCTCTCGATCTTACCAACGCTGCAAAGGGATTAACTTTCACGTAACCCAAGCTTAATTCTTCACTGCCACTGGTGACGTTACCAAATATCAGCTGAAAGCATTCAACCCTGAACTTCTTTTCAAGAGAGGTGGGAAAATTATGTTTACATTATTACAGTAGCCACAACAGTCGAAGCAAAATCAGTATTGAAATATTCGCTTGTAATCGTTAATTAATCATAACCACCCATGAAAGATTTCAAGTTTATCGTTTGATAAATCGGAATTTTAGTTTTAGGAGATTTCAGTTCCTTTGTCTTTAAAACCTGCATAGTTGACCTGATCTGTGTCCTTGCACCCTGTTGTAGTTAAAATTCTTCGGTCACAAACTTTAATTAGTTTGTTTTACTCGAAAACCGCACAAATTTAAGTCCATATTGTTGTCACATGCATATCACATAGCAGTTTTTCGGTTGTATATTTGCTACAAAACTCAGGTTTTCATTGCAGATCTCGCAACTTTTTTTGTAGTGCTTTCAGATATTCTTCCAAAGAATATTGACCTTAATTCAAATTAAAGTTTGTCTCATTAAGACGGCAATGGTTGTAGTGACAATACGAAAATTCTACATACAATCAAAAGTGATTCTATTGTGGTTTGGACAGTTCGTGCCAAGGCATTGTATTGTGTTCGTGGTTGTCTACGTAATTTGTAAATTGATGGCAAAGTTTGTTTTGTAGATTGGTTACAGACTCTTCGGACCACACGTTCAATTTACTTAAACAAAATTAAAGCTTTCTAATTTTGTTGGGTAGCTTTTATATTCAATGATTCTCAAAATTTTGGTCAGAATTTCTGGCAAAAAAAAAAATAGCCTGAATTTGTATCTAAATAAGGAAAAAAACCTTCTGGTGAAGATGGTTGCATAATTTATGATTAACAGCAAGTTTCAAATTTAGAAAGTGTGTTTTAATTACTAATGGAAATGAATCCTGCCTAGAAGAGAGAAAATTTATTTTGTTTTCCCTAAAGCAGTTACTTCTCAAATAAACAGTAACCGAACGGCAAATTTTCAATTTTGATAAACAGTTTGTAAGCCAAATGTTTCATCATTCAAAGCATTTTGGATAGTATGAATTTATTTCAAGTGAGGGCCCTGCTTTCTGAAACTGTTATGTATTGCCAAGTTAGTTATCCAAATTTTTATCAGTCTGCTACATTAATCCCCACAGTGCCTTGCATTGACAAAAGCTTGAAAGGTCCTCTAAAGTAAACACTGATCACCCAAACACAGTAGTTGTTGATTGAAATAATTTAATTAACTTCAACTTAATTATTGAATAACTCATGTTGTAGTGGAGAATATGCGACTGTAAACAATCAACATCCTACTTCTAACAGTTGGACAGGGTCAGTAATAAGTGAAGTTTAAGTAATAATCAAGTTAAAACCTTAAACTTCCAGAAATTATTAACATGTAACTTCTCCATACAATATCCATATATTAGTATGTACTAAAACAGTGGATAGCATTGAAGGCACACTCTGATTGGCTAGTGAAACTCTGAATATCCTTTGCTATGTACCTTTGAGCAAATCGGGAAAAAATGGCGTCCTGGTTTGTATCGGTGACAAGGGAAGAAATCACTCAAATCAATTTTTGGTGGTGTATATTATTTCACTGTTTTAGTATATACTAAAACAACTATTCACCAAAGTGGAGGTGGTTAGTGGTGGATATTTACCTTATGGCTTCGAGGCTCGGTAAATATCCGCAACTAGCCACCTCCACTTTGGTGAATAGTTGTTAATTATCGAGCAAACAGGTAATGAGAATACGCGAACTTATCAGGTAAAAGTTGTTATCTTGATCTACCACAAAATTCTTGTAGCTGATGTATAAGGAAATGTGTAGCGGCTAGAGGGGAGAATTAACAATCAGATCTTAGGACTTAAAGGGTTAGATGGATTTAGTTATGCAGATGATGTTTTAATTTATTATTTTATTATTAATTTATTAGATTCGCTGACATGCAGGGACACTGTAACAGCTTGCGCCAATTACTGCAGGCCTAGTGAACCCACCCCTCCCACCCAGGGGAGGACATCCATCACATAGTAATCTTGTGTGTGGGAAATTAATGTCTCCTACCCCCAACCCTGCAGGAGACGGGGCCCCCATTTAATCATCCCTATCCGAGAAGACTAGAATATCCAACCTTTTCTTGATGTTATAGAGAGGTAGCAAATTTTTCTCAATTATTTTAAGACCTTGAGTGTTGGTCTGGCCGGGGCACGAACCCTTGACCTCCCGCACAGCAGTCCAGCGCACTATCCATTGGGCTAACTGGGCAGCGGTTGATATTTACTGTTATTATTGAATAGCTTTTAGTAATCTTGTACTTGTTTGCAGATGGCTATGTTATTGGTCACTATGCCAACAATGCAAGAGACTTTTTGTATCCAGCTGTCCCACCATACCCAGGCTCAGGACGTGAAGCGACTCTTTTCAAAACATCTCTTTTCAACCCTATAAGAATTACAGTAAGTTAAACAACTGAGCAAACTTATGGAATTTATTCTGAACACCTTCAAGCTTGGATTTTGAAATGAGGGCATTGGATGTAGAAAATCTGTTCCTTTTGAGTCAATCCTGTGATGCAAATGTAGCAAAGAAACTGGTACCATCTTGCAGCATACCATCATTATAATTAACGAAAGAAGCATAAGAGTCGCGCGAGGCGATAGCTGAGAGCGACTCTAGCTTCTTGAGTGCTTAGCAAACCTCCCAAGTGCATCCATAACTCAATAGTGTATGCTGTGGTGTTTACCATTTGTTTTATAACATAACATTGTTTGATAAATTGTAGCTAAAGAGTTCCCTTTTATTTAACAAATCTTATGTGACCAGAAAAAACAAGATAGAAAAATAGTCTTTGCATTTGCTCATGTCAGCAGCATACACGCATGGGCAAATGGGGGATGCTAAATTGACCAATCAGAGCACGCGCTTTACTTTGGTTATGTTATAATTACTGGTGGCATTAACTTATCCCAGTTTGCAAGGGTGATCCATGAAGCTTATCTG